CCCAAGTAGTGCAACTCACGTCTACTTGAGGAATTCAAGCTCATTTGAACTTAAAGTAGAAATAAAAATCAAATACCATACAGCAGTCTGACACCAAATACAAGGAGTATTTTGTTGTTTTTGTTTGAGCTCATTTCGACCAGAGATCATTTGTATACAGTTACCTATTTGTGAATCAATATAAAGAGAAGACCAAGATAACAGAAATGTTAATTCTCTCAAGTTTTCTCTGGCCATACAAACACAAAATCACTGGGTCCTAGTGGTGAATTCAGTAGCAAAGAAACCTATTTAAAAAGACACATGGAATACACGTAAGCCTCTAGAACTTGACTTTCAGGAGAGGCAGGTGAGCCACATTAAGATAGTAAGCCAAGTTCTACCAGGAAAATGTTAACTTCTTTTTGTCTGTAGCCCCTCCCCCCCACCTTTTAGAAATGATAGCTATACCTACATGGAAGTCCAAAATGTTACCAGAAAGAATGGTAACATTTCATTTTATCAACAAGTCCATAAGAAAAGTCAAGTCATTTTCATAAACTAACATTTGGAATCGGGTTTATAGAAGAGAGCAGCTCTGCCCGCAGACCCCAGCTCTGTGCTGTTCTGGTTGCGCAGTGTCGGAACACCCTGACTTCCACGAAGCGGCGGCAGCTCTTCGGCAGCCCACCGACGGCCCACCCGTGAGCACCAAGGCGCTCTCCAGTTTACCAGAGCCGGCCGGCCTTGTGCCGGCCTGTGTGCAAAAACGCTTAACCTGGTGCTGATGTCTGCTGGATTTCAATGTTTCGAAAAGTTATGAAAGGTGTATTTGAACTTGCTGATGTTAATTTTTAAAGTTAAAATAGACTTTAAAATCAAACATAAATGAAGATCTCAACAGAACAGTGTGAATATCATTGCTTCAAGACATGAGTTTATTTTTATGTGAAAAATAAGTTCTGGCTTCCTGAAACTCCACTCGAGGCTTCCACGAGTGCCCTACTTTGTTGTCTGCTCGCCGCCCTTGGCCATTCCTTCCGTGTCTTTCACAGGCCCGGTCCTGTCCTGCACTCCGCCCTCAGTGACACTGTCATCTTGTGTTCTCTCCCTTTCTCGTGCCCTCAGTTAACATGACGTGTGCCGACAGGCCCCACACACACAGCTCCTATTTCTCTCCTAGCTGCATTTAGACTTGTGTCTCCACTCAAACACTGTAGACATCCTGAACTCAAAAGAGCACTCACTGCTCATCTTGCTTTGTTTCACCTCCCCCTAAACTAAGTCCTTCCTCCTCTTGAATTCATTCTCTCAGTAAATGGGATTGTTCAACTCCGGAGTCACCCTGCGTTCTTTTGCCTTGTCTTCCCCGTTAGCCCATCAGTCTTGCTAACTCCACCTCCCAAACACTCTGAATCCATTCCATCTTCTCTGCTCCTATGGCCACTGCCACAGTGCAGCTTCTCAATGGGGATTATTGCGGTTTACATAACTACCGAGACTTATAAAATGTATTTTTTGTTGTATCACTTCTCTACAAAAAAAATCCTTAAGCCCTGGCTGGTGTAGCTCAGCGAATTGAGCACAGGCCTGTGAACCAAAGGGTCACAGGTTTGATGCCCAGTCAGGCCACATACCTGGGTTGCAGGCCAGGTTCCTGGGGGGGGGCGCGCACATGAGAGGCAATCACATATTAATGTTTTCTCCCTTCCCCTCTTTCTAAAAATAAATAAATAAAATATTTTTTAAAATCCTTAAGTATTTCTGTATTATCTTCAGAATAAAACCCAAAATTTTCACAGTCCTTCTTGTTCTACATTTTGCCTGCTTTTTCATTATACTGACAATTCTCTTTAACTTCTTTTTCTGCTAGCTAGCTCCTACTCCTGCATCAAGACTCAGCAACCACTTCCCCTGGGAACAACTTCTCTGCCCCACTTGGCCTCTGGGCTCCCTCATGACCCTTGCCCTTGTCACAGCACTCTGCACTGTGAAGCAACCCTGGCCTGCACTACATTGTGAGCTTTGCTCTGGTTTCTGTTTCAAAACAGAGTCTGGGACATAGCAGGTGCTCAATAAATGTTTCAGTTGCAAGAGTGAGAGGCATGAGGAGGCTAATGGCTCCCTTACTTCCAGGTCAGTTAACAAGACACGAACCCCATGACTGGTTTCCCAGTGAGATGGCACCTTGCTCTCTGAATCTTTTCAATTAAGCCAACTTGAACCCAATCCTCTTGGTCCCTCAAAAAATTAACACAGAATCACCACATTATCCTGCAATCCCACCTCTAAGTAGAAATGAAAACAGGGACTCAAACAAACACCTGCTCATCAATGTTCATTGCAGAATTACTCACAATAGCCAAAAGGTAAAAATAACCCATGTGTCCATCCATAAATAAGTGGATAAAACAAATGTGGTATATCCCATCAATAGAATATTACTCAGCATTGATGAGAACAAAATTCTGATATATACCACAATATGGACAAACCTTGAGAACACTATTTTACTTAGTGAAATAAACCAGACACAGAAAGACACATACTGTGTGATTCTATGGACATGACGCTTATTACCCATCCAATGAGTCACTTCTGTGGCCGATCTAATGACCCGATCAACCTGGAGAGGCCTCAACTTCTGTGGAACCAGAACTGACCACAAGCTCTGCCAGTACCGACAGCAAAGCCCAGCTCCTGCCAAAAGTATTTCATGTTGGGGAATGAGTTTTACAGGTTCCCAACTTCCTTCACTGGAGAACCTAAGAGACAACCTGCCTCCCCAAAGCCTTTATAAATAGTTTGCTGCTTAAATTTTACAGACTGAATTCTGCATAGGAAACTACTTTCCTTAAGTTATGTGAAGCCCATAAATTAAAAAAAAAAAAAAAAGGGACTAAAGCATAAATTTGACACCTACAAACAATATGACGTACACCTGAATGAAAATAAGTATTGTAAAAACCAAAGGAGGCTGAAGGGAGAAGTTCAAGGGGAGCAAGCATAAAATATATAACTAAGGAGGACCCCAGAAGAGGTATCCCAGAGACGCAAGGCGGAAAAGCTGGAGGGGAAAACTACCAGAAACACGAGCAAGTTCTCTGCCTTTTAACTGGTGCACTGGCTGACCAGCCCGATGGCTGCAGACACACAGCAGGTGCAAGCATTTGAGACTCTTCCCTCCCTTCCTACCCCCCTTTCAGAGAACACCTCCCAAACTGCCCCTAGATGTAGACATGAGATGTCAAAGTGACTACAGTGCCTGTCATACAGCAGACATTCGACAAACAGTCCTTTACATTCCATTTCATACTAGAGTCGCTGGGACAGCATTCGCTTCAGTGTGTGTGCTTTCTAGCAACGTGTGCTGAAAGTCACTCCTCCTGAGGTATAACAGGCAGATGTGTCATAGACGCAAGTCACATAGATATGACTTACCATATATATGCATGTATAGAAACAGTTACCACAGATGACAAGATAAAATCATCAATGTTGCTAGAAAATATACTGACATAAGACATCTTCCTATGCTACAGAAAGGGGCTTCATTTCACATCTATTAGGCACCCATTAGCACCTTAATTCAGTGTTAGTAAAAGGAAGCAGAGTGATATATCTGTCCCTGGTAGATCTGTTGTGAAAATAACTAACAAAAAAGTGGGTCCAAATCCCACAGAAAGGTGAGTTCTGAATGTTAGGTGCCTTATATTAGGTTATAATCCTGACAAGACAAATACCAGGATTTTCTGAAAGCCTCTGAAATTCATTAGGAAAATCCCTACTCATTTATTATTTAAAATCAGCAGCAAGGTGGGAATTAGCACTTTATGTGCCTCTGACTACCCTACGGCCCCTTAGATAAAACCTGAAGTCTTCATGGGCCTCCTCTGTTGGCTGGCTCTTTCTCCCCACCCCCCAAGTCCCTTCCTACCCAGATGAGCCCCTGGCATCCTCTGGGACGAACAGAAGTGCTCTTACGAGGTCAAAGAATCAACTAGAAATCTATTGGGCCCTCTGGCCTTTTTCCTATTCTAGTCCAGATGTAATTTCTCTCCCTACATCTCCTTTTTGGTAAAAACGACATACAGTGTTTCTTTTTCATCTAGTGCAAAAAGCACCAATCACTAGGCAGTGAGTGCTGTTTTTTTTTCCCCCCTTGGATAAAATTGTTAGCTATTTTATGAGGCAATATACAAACACAACAATAAAAAACATTCATTTTTTAAAATTCAATAACAATGCTTGAATTTGTGTGACATTTATATACCAGGTTCCTACAGAGAAAAACTGTCATAAAAATTTAAGGTCCAAGCTTGGCTGGTGTAGCTCAGTGGATTGAGCGCAGGCCTGTGAATCAAAGGATTGCAGTTCGATTCCCAGTCAGGGTACATGCCTGGGTTGCAGGCCAGTTCCCCGTGGGGGATGCATGAGAGGCAACCATACATTGATATTTCTCTCCTCCTCCCCTTCCCCTCTAAAGAGAAATAAAATCTTTTAAAAAAAATTAAGGTCCAATTTGATGTGAATTATTAGGAACATTTTCACAATTTAGACTAATGTGAATGATTCATCTGTCTCCACTCTAAAATGATCTTTCTTAGTAATTTTCAAAATTCACATTGAAAATCATTGCAACAAATTACAGTATAGTATGCTACTTGAGAAATTTAAAAAAACATGTCATTCTCAAATACTTACCTGGAAGTTTTCTTCCTTAAGCTTTATATAAATTAACTTACTTCATGAATGATAAAAGAACAATGCAGAAGACAAAAATACAGAAGACAAAAATTCATTGAAGACTATTTTATAACTTAAAGCACAGAATGTCAGGATGATAAAAGCATCTGATATCCAATAAACAAAAGAACTTCTTAAACAGCAACAGAAACCACTGCCGCCAGACAAATTTTCCCTCTGGCCTCCTGTTCCAGAACAGACAGAACATCAGGTCCACAGGAAAGAGCAGCCCAACTGCACACTCCAGAGGTAAATAAAAACAGGGAAGACTGTAGCACACATGTCAAAGAATAAATTTAATTTTGACAAATAATTTAATTCTTTAACAAACAAATGAGTTTTAAAAGGTGGTAGTGGCATAATTTTGAGCACTCCTTTTTTAGTTCCACTTGAAAAAAAAAGTGTAAGCTTTTTTCTCTGCTTCCCAACAGTTCAATGACAGCAACACATTAAATCTATGATGGTGCCGGAGTTCCCCTACAGGGACAGAGGTGTGACTTCATGAACTTTGTGAAATCTGCAGTGAGGGAGAAGAAAAACAGAGAGAGGGAGAGAAAGAGAGAGAGGGGAAGAGAGAGAGAGAAAGAGGAGAAACAAAAACTAATTTTCCAGGCCAGGAAATACTTATAAAACCTTTTATGTCAAAGTTAGGACTTCACAAGAGAACACACTAATGTAAAAATCCAATAGCACCTGTCAGATTTAAGTAAATGCTGCCATCACGTAAATGCTTTTTAAAAATATCTGTAAAAGACTGAAGGAAAAAAGATAAAATACATTCTCCAGAGAACAACAAATGTACTTCAAAATAAAAACTGTATTTTTGCTTTTCTTGGTTGCTTTTTTGTGCAAGAATTCATAGTCATCATGTAACAGCTCATACGCAAGGGGCTCAGCCTCTGCTCCGCTCCCGTGTGGCACTTCCAGTCCACATGCTCAGGCTGCGGTCCCCGACGCTGTTTTCCGACCAATACATTACACCACAGGTGGGTCTAAATGCAGATACATTATATAATACTTGTCTCTGGGAAAATCAAATTTTAATATGAAAACTTTTATTTCTATAATACAGAAATGGAGAAAACTACAGTAGGCACACAACCTAATTATGACTTTTAAAGGATGACTCTAGACACTCTCCTACTGTAAATTAATGTTTAAAATAGTCTTAAGATTTTATTTATATGTGCACTTGTGTCCACCTCATCCCATATTCTGTACACGTCTAATGACACTCTGGGAATTTAAAGGTGCAGCCCTCAAGAAATTGTTAATCACTTTTTTAAAAAAGAAAAAACCAGGCTCTCTTGGACAAGGAAAAACTCACAAAATTTCCAATTTTAAGTTTCATACAAGTAGGAAAATATTAAAAATAATTTTCTGTATATACATATGGGTATATGTATATATTGAATCACACACACCTCACGTATCAGTACAATTCAAGTGGAGTCATTTCGATGAGTTATTTTCCCATTAAATAACAACTATGTCAACATTTAAAAATATCATGTTACATCATTAAAATAATTCACTTACCATTTCAAAAGCTTATGTTCTTTTCTTCTTAACTTTTAATTCTTCATAACTATATTCCCTGATCCCTAGAGTGAAACCCTTATTTAAGTCAAAACCTGGTGCTCTTCGTCACTCAGAAACTGATGGGTAAAATCACATCTATTTCAAAATTCTAACAATCAAACCTTATTACCTGATCTACCAGAGAAACATAGCAGCTCTGAGCTTGCATACCTTCATTACCCTCCCTGGAACGCAGAGGCGAGAATATCCAAGAACAGACGGAGGTAAGTTATGGCGTTACAGCGCATACAATACGTGATGATTAAGTGTCTGAGAAAGACTCTGCAGAGACACCTGTGAAATCTCACTTTAGAAACTAACTTTTAAGAAACAGACCATTTATTTTTCACTCTAATATAAATTAACATGTATGTATTTCCATACATACACATGTAAAACAAAATCATCTATGTTGAGCTGTTTGTGAGTGAAAAAAATGGTTACAAATTGATTAATTAGTTTAATTTTGTACGTAACAACTCAGGCTTTCGGGGGTACAAACAAAAAGTCAGTGCATTTTGTAGACTCCATTGGATCGGACGCCCGAGCACGCGCCTTGAAGCCCCGCCCCCACACACAAGCCTGGGGGGCAGGCACAGACGGACTCCGGTGCGGTTCCCACGCCCTACGCAGACCCCACCGCACTGGGCTTGCTTTTAAAATAGCCTCTTAAAAGAAATATAGAAAGAAATGCATCTTTGCTAAAAGTCTTTTAAAATGACATCAAAACGACATTAAAATCTGTTCACTGAGAAGAGCCTATTGAGTTGAATTCCTGTTGTGAAATGCCTAGTTAACAGTTCAGAATATTGCCTTGCGAGGTTTGACTAGAGATGTGGCTGCTGTGAAGGTCAGGCGTGCACGGCTCAATCCCCACAGTCCTCTGATCCGCTTTTTGATGGAAATGGATCCCCTTTAAAACAGCTGTACACCTTGAAGTGATCCAGAATAAACAGTTCCCCAATAACCATAATTATTTGTAAATTGAAATGCATTGATCATTCAGAAAAGATTTCTTGCAAAATATATAAATAAAGGTAACTGCATATTCTGTAAATATACATAACATTGCTAGACCAGACCGCCAGTGACGGGCTGCAGTATTTCAGTACTGTCAAATTTATTAGAAATTTAAAAAGAAAAACTTCTGAGGGACACAGCTGCCTTTGTTAGTTGGCTTTAAAACGTGTAATAAAATGGGAGACAATATCTTCTCATAATTACATGGAATCAATACAGAAAAGAAACTATACAGTGGAAAAGATTAGAGAACACCAGAGTGTACCGGAGTGGTCACCAGAGTGAAGTGTCTTCCAGTATAAAAAAAAGGGAAGAACTCTACACACCCAGTTATCGTAAGCATGTTTCAATTAAAGATGCAGCTCTCTCTCACTCCTGGCAAGAATTAATTGGTAACGGCACTGCTTCTCAACAATGCAAAAATATCCTGAGAAATTATTCAGATTATAACAAAAGACAAGGCTTTCATCACTAAGTTTTTGCACAAAACACAGCTTTAGATATCATGAATAAATTAATGTGACCCAGACATTGTTAATTTCCCATTGGCTAATATCAGAAAAAAAGGATTGCATTAAGTGTCTATTTATAACTTTCCAGTTAACTATGGCCAATAATTTACATGGAGGTAATTTGTAGTTCAAGTGTTTCATCTCTTTTTTTCCCCAACTAGCTACAAGCTGAATTCTAAAATTTACACTGAAATATACAATTCCAATTTTCAAAAAATCCTCCTCATGGAGGGGCGGTATTTAAATTTTTTGTGCAATCTTGATGCAGAGCCCAAACAGTCCTATGAAGAAAGACAGTGTATTTTTTAATCAATTGGCACTGAAATTTCACTTTCCTTAGCTGCATTCTAGTAGCTTGGCCAAGTTATCACGTAATTCTGTTAGTTCAAATATTTTTCCATCAAGAATTTCTAAGAGTGTCTTCAGATTATTGCGAAAAGCTTCTTGTTCATTCTGACTTTTCTCCAGACGTTGCTCTAAGTCAGACAGTTGTCCCTCCAGGTCTTTGTTCCGAATTTCTACTTCCTTTAGAAACAAAAGTGTGATATACATATGTGTCAGTTCACAACGTGGAAAACAATACAACTTTTGTTATTAGTTAATAGTGAGCTAGTTATTGCAGTTTGACCTAATGAGGTCAATGAGGGTGAGCTTCTGAATCTCAGGTTCACACAGTTTCAGGACATTTCAGATATTTACCAACTGGTTTGTTCACAAATCCATCTATCCAACCCAACAAGAATTTCCCAACTGCTTTATTTTGTGCCAGGAGATTCCCAGGGCACTTCAAATCCTGAAACAGCGCTGAAGGCCCACTTGGAGGGTTATCTATGCCTCATTTCTATTTCTGCTCCCATGCTTGTCCCAATGCACAGCTGTTAGCATTCTCAGGTGAAAGCAGGCAGAGAAAAAGAGAGAAATTATTTTTTTCTCCTTATTGGCAACTCTGGAGAAAGACTGAGAAGAAAATAATTCCCTAAGATGAACTTTTAGGATCCTCTAAATATGTTAGTTATTCTTGTTTTGTTAATCTCTAATTATTCTCATGAGTGAATGAACGCATGTGGTAGAGAATAGTTCAACTGCTAAAATAGTGAAGATATCTAATAACTATACACATAAGAATTATAAAGCTAACAACTTCAACATACTGCAAATCAAGGAAAGAAAAAGAATCACATAAAGAAAAAAGTTCATGGCAACAAAAGTTTTTTAAAAATTAATAAATCCTGGCACACTAAGAATGTCAGTTTTTATAGCTCTAAAATGTTTCCAAATGTGACAAATATAGTAAGTAATTCTATAAAATAAAATGACATAACCGGAGCTATAGATTTAATTTTGGTAAAAAAATCAAATTGAGAAAAGGAGCAGAAAACCAACTATTATACTCTAAGAAAACCACTCAGATTAGCAAGGAGTTGAAAGTTACAGTAGTTCCCCCTTATCTAGGAGGGGGACATGTTCCAAGCCCCCGAGTGTGTGCCTAAAACTACAAGTACCAAACCCTATATATACTCTATTTTCCTGTATATACATACCTATGATAACTTTTAATTTCTAAATTAGGTAGAGTGAGAGATTAACAACCATAAAATAGAACAATTTTAACCAAATACTGTAATAAAAGTTATGTGAATATGGTCTCTCTCTCTCAAAGTACCTGACAGCTAAGAGCTCCTAAGTGACCAGTGGGTGGGCAGCCCAGCACAACATGGACATGCTGGACAAAGAGAGGGGCTATGTCCTGCTGGAGCAGAGCAGAGCACCTGAAGATTTTGTCACGATGCTCAGAATGGCACACAACTGAAAACTTACGAATCATTCATTCCTGACATTTTCCATTTCATATTTTCAGACTGCAATGGACAACAAGTAACTGAAACCACAAAAAAACAAAACCGTGGGTAAGGGGGGACTACTACACATATCTTTTCTGGAAAGTTCACTTTTACATCTGAGAAGAATTCAGTTGAATGACACAATTTACAGTCACATATGCGAATTATATGGGATAATGAAAACATTTTCATTAGTAACTCAAAATGAATCGGCCTCAGGAAATGTATTTCAAATGCCAATATATCATCTAAATATAAATCTCTAAAAAATCCCATTAAGTCTAAAGGAGAGTGGGGAAAAATGTAATAACGGAAAGGCAATTTGGCAAATAAAACAAGCGGGACATGCAGCAGCACACCGCCCCCGGGCAAATCCGTGTGCGTGAGGACCAGCAGTGCGCATCAGCGCACCGGAAACAGGAAACAGGACCTAGATCAGGGATTCGGGATTACAGGTACTTCTTTCCAAAATTTGTCTTAAAATACCTTAAATGTTAATTTTTTAGAAAAATAACTGGGAAATGACCTGAACACATAATAAGAAAGGAACAACTGATTTAGGATTCTGAACATAAACAAATGTTCACAAGCTTTCACAGAAACAATTAAGATCAAGGCTTAAGCAAGGATGCCACAGATGAGTCCCAAGAGCCTGGGAAAATATAAAAGAGGAATAAAGCAGCTAGAATGACTTGTAAGTGAAGAGTTTAAGGGATCCCAATCTAATCTTTTATCAGGTATGTTTCTAATCGCTTTCCTTTGAATAATCTGACAGCAGAATCTGAAACCAATAAAATATTTATAAATTCAGAAGCCACGTTCAAGGAGGCTCTAAACTATGAGGGAGAAAACGGACCCTGGGATCAAATCTACAAACTTCACTCAGGACTGCACAGCATGCTCTCTTGCCCGCTTAAACAATAAGCTTAAGAGTTCAATGTTTCCAACTTCAAAAACAGAGGAAATGTCTTTCACTAGAAACACCCACTTCACCAGGCACTGCCCAGTATGCCCTCTAAAGCCTTTGCTGAAAATGAAAGGCGTTCTTGTTCTCCTTGCCAATCAATGAAACATCCAAACATTTTCAATTGGAGCAAGCAAAACACCAAATTCTCTCAGCTATTAAAATTGCACTGTTATCTCTAGAGGTAGCCTCCTACTCAAAAGCCATTTCCCGGATTGGAGGAATTTTACGAGGCAGATATCAAAGGGATCCAATACAATGCTGACCGCACTGGTCTATTCTGAGGCGCGGAATGTGATCCTAGGCAAGAACAGACAACTCAGCGCACACGGGCCAACATGAGGCAATCGGAGCCCTGGATTGTGGCACTTCCCACTTTTCTACCTTCTGTCCATATTTTTCAATCCTCTCCTTCTTGCCTTTTTATTGTCTGTCCCAACTCATTCTTCTGTTTACTATCATTTTTGTCCTACTATTTTCCCCTTCTCCTTTACTGACATGGAAGCAGGTAACAGGAGGCCTGGTTCAGCCCTGATTAAGCACTAGAGGCCAGAATTTGCTAACTCCTGTAAAGGGCAATCACTGAAAGTTATTCCTAGTGGGCAAGAGGTCAAGCTCTGTATTTGTTAGATACAGGCCTATATAACACTAGAGTCATTAATAAAATTTAAACAATTAGTAGCATCACCAATGGGGTCAAATCAGGTTCATTTTCTATGAATTTCAGTCCTGTATCATTTAATCCAAATAAAAGCTACAAAAGAATTATCTTTATTGACATCTGATTCATATCTTAAGCTCTCACAAGTTATATTATTGCCCTGTTAATGTTCATCTATAACAGGACATATAAATCATAAAAACAAGTATTTATAATTCAACAGAAAAGTACAAGACACAAATTTTGAAGAAGACTATTCAATAATTACTTACTGAGCATGTTCTATGCACTCGGATTGAAAATGCAGCAGCAAATAAACAAAGACAGCCCCCGTTTTACTGCACCCTAGAAGGGGGACACCAGCTGGAAGAAGTAATCACGACAGACTTCTGGGAACCCAAGAAAATTGTGACTGGGGACACCAATGTCTCCCAACCACCCTCCCAAACTACATAAACCAGTAACAAGAAACAATAAAACCACACAAGTTAGACAACTTCAATGAAACTAGAAGAGAATAATATACACTTCAAATTACCTACAATTAGGAAACACAAGCACCAATTTCCAGCAGAGAGATTTCTCAAGCTCTCACTCTAACCCTTTGCAGAGGGCAAGGCAAGGTCCTGGAGGCAAAGCAAGGGGAGGGAAGAGGCGAACGAAAGGCCTAAGACTGAACGCTAGTAACGCTAAGCAAAAGAAAAGACCATGGAAAGTGCCAACATACCAGAAAAACAAATAAACAAGAAAGTCCTGGTAGACCACAGCAGACCAGGAGAAAGGGTCTTAACAGTGCACAAGGGGCAATCTGGAAAGGCGGCAGGACGTCTGAGAAGAGGGTCAAAGGAAAAGGAGAAGGGATCCTGGTGGAATGGTGTGGTCAGCGGAGAAAAGAAGGAACGCAGGAAAAGTTAGGATCTTCCAAAACAAAGGAAATTAAAGTAGTGAAGGTCACACAACCTCTCCTCCACCGTCTCCCCCAAAAGGGTGTTTCTGAATTAACAATCTGTAAACCACCCAAAACTGCCACCCTATTCATGAATACAAAGGTGCCTGCAATCTTCATCTACATAAACTGTCATAAGATAAAAAAAGAAAATGATACTCAAAACACTTCAGTGGAAGAAAATAAAAATCACTGCCCCAAAATCAACTATGAAACACAAGAAAACTCTAACAGAATCCTCTACTCTGAATTAAATACTCAAAAAACAAGCCTGAGTTACGTATTCAAGTGCTACAGAAATGGGCCAAAAAAACTAAAATACAGGAGTGTTGATTAAGCCCGTGATAGTAATATAAGCAAATGGCAAAATTATAACAGAAATAAAAACTGAATTATAAGATACTTAAGGAAAAATAGATTTAAATAAAAAATTTCTATTCAATATTACTTAAAAATTGAAAGGAATTAAAGTGGGATAAAGTAGGGTCAAGAGAGAGGAAGTAGTTGAAACAGACAAGACAATACCATTACATATCGATGGAGTTCCTGAAGAAGAAAAACACAAAAATAGGACAGATCTAATATGTAAAACTCTCATACAAGAAAACTTCCTGGAAATAAAGGAAGATCTGAATCTACAACTTAAAAGGGCCTACAATGTACCTGGGAAAACTGACGCACCCTCTACAATCAAATCCGAGAAATTTCCTAGTAAAATTTTAGACTTTAAAACTAAAGGAAAGACTTCCGCCAAGATGGAGGCATAGGTGGAGACGCCGTGCTTTCTCACACAACCAAGTTTAGAGACAACAAAATATTAGCAACAGAAAACACAGCCAGAACACAGAAAATTGAACTTTTCAGAAGTCTGATAACAACGAATTCTTCAGCCTGACCGTTAAGATGGGCGAAACCAGCAGCTGGCAGAGCGGGGTTGCACAGGAAAACTCGGTCAGACGGACTCAGGCGTGTGGATCCCAGGCGTGGGGATGCAAAGGGCCGGCCCAGTGAGCGACCTAGTGAGCGTGACCGGCGGGTCTGGCGAGGGTGAAGGGTGCTGCGGCTAGACTGTGCTGACGCATTCCTGCGCAGATAGACCAGTGAGGGAGTGGG